TTTTTTTTTTTTTTTTTTTTTTTTTTTTTTTTTTAGAAAAGTTATTTTCAAGTTTACCTTGTTCGCTTTCCAAGCTTGATTTCTCCGAATCTTTGTTGTCAGATGTTTTTGAGGAAGTTCTTTGAGGAGATTGCTCACTGCGGTGACTGTCACTTCCAGTTGAGCCTTTCGAATTGTCTTTCTTCCGTGACGATGACTCACTTTTGATTGAATCAGTACTTTCTGCTAAAATAAAATCATTTTCTCAACTGCTAAAACGATTATGGTTACAGGTGAAAAAACTATACTTATCAGTTAGAGCATTTCATACCTTCTGAATCAGGTTTTTTATCTTCTTTATCTCCAGATGAGTTTGGCTGCTTCAGCGACAGTTTTGAGCCCCCTTTATCTGTCGAATCTTTTTCATCTTCAGGTGGTTTCTTTTTGTTTGAATTTGATTCCGCTTCTTCATCTTTGTGTAAAACGTCTTCTGAACTCTGGCTTGTGTGGTCCTTTGACTTTTTTGCTGAACCTTCCCTGAAAAGGAAGACGCCCATAATTCAAAAAGCTTTTTATTTATGAAGATAAATACATTAAACCAGAGCAAGATTGAACAGAAGTTTCGTAATTCTAATGGGCAATGGAAGAGAAATAAAAAACCAGAAAACTTTTGAAATTAATCAAGTAAATAATTTTTGTTTTTTTCGGCTATCAAAACTACACTGAAAAATTATCCTGTGATAGAATCGAAAACTCCCCAAAAAAGTGCTAATAGGTCTTTGAAGATTACATAAATAATGATTGCTAAATAAATATACAAATATTATGACAATCATAAAAAAAGGTTATTTAAGCTTCACATATCATAAATACAGAGTTATATGCCAAATTAAGGACTTTAATTGTACAAAACTTACTTTTTATGTTTTGATTTTTTACCGTCCTTCTCCTAGAATAAAGCTGTGTGTAATTCCAAAAAAAAAAAGAAAAAAATTTGAAATCGAATTTACATTATAAGTTATACTATTATTTACGTTTTCATACTGTTTATTTTCGTGCTTCTGTTTTTACTTGAAATGCTGAATTTTGCTGACCTAACCATCTGATGATGTGAAAAAATAATTTTTCTTTTCTTGCTGTTACTACAATGAAACTAAAGAGGTGGCAAAAAAAGAAAAGAAAATTGAAGCACTAGTAACACTCATAAAATATATACTTTGGAATGATGGCCCATATTCAAATGAGTGTTGACTTTTGATAAAGCTCCGTATGAGAAGTCGCGTCTTAGTGCCAACGAAGATCCTCGTCCAGAACGATTATCGTCCTTCGGTCTTCTTGGCTCGACACTACGTGAGGTACGTTTTCCAAACTTAAATATAAACGTTTAAAAGAAAGTTGTAAATGCATGCAAAAAACTGCCCATACACTCAGACAATACAACAGGCAGTTTAAACAAACATTGTATTTTGAAGTGAAAACGATGAACTGCGAAAGTGGCAGTGAAACGTAACGAGAAAACTTCTGTAAGATTTGGCGAGGAGAAAAAAGAAAGATCAAACATTTTCATCTTTTTCTACTTCACTCCTTGCATGTAATCTGAAGCGTTCTTTTTTCTTTGCTGCTCGACCATATGGAAGTGGCGTAAATATTCTGGATGTAGCGACATATTCCTACATAAACAGTATTGGAATAGATGAAGAACAAAAAAAAAAAACTTTTCTTAAAACTATTTAATATTAAAAACTTATAAGAATAGCATTTAAAGACAAAACTTTTTCAGAAATAACTAAACATCACTTTCACACGCTTACGACATTTGATCAACACATTAGAATGATAGACTTATATTCAGCAATTAAATATAATTTAGTAGACGTTTTTTAATGACAACTTTGTTTCCCCCCCAAAAAAGAAAAGCTGTTTTATCGATAAGCAGATCAAAATGTGGCAAAGACAACACTAAACAAAACCTTTTTTAGAGTCTTTTATTACAGAAGTAACCGTTTTTTCATATTAAAAGAGTATATACCTTTGACAATTCTTCCTCTTACAATTCTTAGAATGTTAGAGCTCAGGGGTAAGGTTTAATACAAAAATAAAACTCTTACCAGTTACAGTCAATGGGAAAAGAAAAGTTTAAAAGGTCGCGTCAATATGTACTTCTCATCAGACAAATATTTGGTTTAATAAAATGTAAACAAGTAACAGAACTGTTACTTTAAAACTTTGAGTTTGCAAAATAGACAGTAAGATGAAACCGAGTAGAAAGAGACGCCTAATGTCTACAACCATTCTTCTACAACTATTTTACATAAAAACAACTTCAACATTAAACATAACTTTAGTCAAATACAGTTCAAATAATGGTACAATTTAATTTAACCGACACTATAACAAAAATGCAACAGTCTGATCAGCACCGATGGTTTCTCACAAACTTTTGCAGCTTTACTTTACTGTGTACTGTTCGCTCGTTGATGCCATAAAAATGGAGTCAAAAAAAGCTTTAGTTTTTTTTTGCATTGTAAAGTTATGCAAAAAAAAGATGTTACTATTTAAAATTATTTGATGGCAACTTTTTTTTTAATTGTAACCTTATTTAGTTAAGTTTTCGTCATAAATATCGCCTGCTTTTTTGAAAGCTCAAATAATAAACCCTATATTAAAGCAAATATAATAAGAAGTAAAATTGAGCTAAGACACTATCACATATCTAAAAGAAAAAATAACCGAAATTATAGTTTTAAGTGCGATAGTAATCCATCTCAAATCTAGATTTATTTAAATTTCAGGTAAGCTTGATTTTGTGACAGAAACTTGTGAAAAATTTCATAAACTTGAGGTTGAATTCATTGAAGTTTAAGAATAAAAGTATCTGACAAATAGTTTCCAATATTTTCAAATTTTAGCATAGATTAATCGCATAAAAATACTCCTTAGTAGGCAACAACAGCAATAACAACAGGCAAATTTAAGTACGTAACCTGCTCTAAAACCTATAAAACGCCGAATCCTGTTGAGATTGCTGAAACTATAGACCACTTTCTTACAAACAGGAAAACTCTAAAGTTTAAACTAGAAACAACATCTGAAAAAAAGAGCAGTTCTACAGACTACAAAAGTTCACCTACATGTCAAACATGACAAATTTTTTCAGATTATAGAATTATTTTAAAAATATTTTAACGTAATAATTTATTTCTTCAAAATAACGTCAACATGAAGCGACTGATTAACCAAATTATTCTTTGAAAAACTTATTAAACTGTTAAGAAAACAATCATAAGCAATAGACATTAAACTCTCCGAAAATGTTTCTAAAATTTTTCGTAACACACTTCTTAGGATTGTCTGAAAAACAGTCAATAAAATTGTTTTAGGTTTATTTTTCTTTTAATTTTAATCAGTTATTTCTTTAAAGACAGATTAATGAGAAGTAATGAATCTAAGCAAGTTTGGCAAATAAACACGACAAACAACGCCAAAGTCGTAAATAGTGACTCTGCTCAAAAAAAAAGAAAGAAGAGTGTCTCAGTCGTTTTTTTAAAGTGGTAAACGAGATTGACAGAATTATTGTCACTAAATTCCAGAAAAAAAATGCTCTTCAAAATAAAACGGCAGTCTGTTTTTACAATCACCAAGACTACTATTTCCTAGTAACTTCTTTCTGATGAATAAATTGTCGAAAAAAAACAAGATAAACTATGCTAAAGTAAACTATAATAACTAAGACTTTTTGACAAGAATATTGGTACCATCTAACTGTCTTAAATGTTTCAATTTTATCTTAGTTTTTTGGAACGCTATACCATAACATTCGATCTGGTGCAATAGAAGTGCTGCAAAATATGTCTACTGAGAAAAACTTCATCAAAACTGAAACTGACCAGAAGTACAACAGATCACAGTTCGTCGATAAAACGAAAAATTTGCATATGCTATTAGTACAATAGGTCAGAGCAGACTGAATACCTTTTGTTGCTTACTACACTAATAGTCAAAAAAGTAATAAAAACTTTCAGGCTCTGTTTTGTAGCGTAGTCGTAATGAGCGACAACTTTACCGAACAGCAGCAGTTTTTGAAACTGCCATGAATCAGTATTGATTGCTCAAAGTGGTTGCAGCTGTTCAAAACGTATACAATCAATTTTCTTATCAGAACTGGTAAAAAAACGTTATAAAAACGTCAAGTAGACAACTGCATTCCTTTTTGCTGCTTTCACTTGCAGAGTATTCAACTTTGATCAACGTGAAAAACTTTAGCGAACACAAACTGCAGCAAATAGAGCATTAAACTGCTGTACCGTAAAAGGTTGTATGGATACAATAAATTTAATTAATATGGCTTTGTGGCTAAAATGTGCTTAACAATTTATATTCCTTGCCAAACTAGTAAAGAATCATCACTCGTCTAAAGTTGCTTGGTTTCTTTCTGTTCTGATTTTTCAGTAAAATACAAGTAGTAATGCTATTTTAGGGACACTTTAATTTCTGGTGGTTTTAAAAGTTTAATAAACAGCAGTACAGATAAAAAGAGAAATAGACCAGCCAGTGCAGTCATTTTCTTTACTGCAATACCTTTGTACAATAAGTCTTCGTATTGCCAATTCATAACAACAGAATGCTCAAAAATTTATAACTGCTGTTAAAAACAAATAGCGAAATAAATTTGTGTTGGAGGAGGTTCACAAAGGTTTTAAATAAACTATAAGTTCTCAAATTGAGTGTATTTTATAAACTTAAAAAAAAAAGTCATTGTTCTGCTGAAAATATCATCTTATTTCAATCAAACCTGAAAAAAATTGATGTTAAATTTGACGTTCTAAAATAAAAAACTTAAACATAATAGAAGTATATTTACCGTTGAAGTTTTTACATACATAAAAAATTCTAAGACTTTGAGATTCGAGATTTTTACATTCTTTCGAGAGAAAGTTCTGCACTTTTGCCATTTCATATTAAATGTGAACTTTTTTTTCTTAGCTTGACTGTGATTTCTTCCAAAAAAAAATTCTGCAGAAAGAGTTTGAACACCGAGTTATACAATTGCTGCGTTACTCTGTGCTTTATTCTCATCGTATCTACTGCAGAAGTATTTTGGTTGCAAACAGATTCACCGTTTCAATCAGGGCTTCATAGCACAAGTCAGAGTTTAAAAATTAATAGGAATTTACCAAGATGCTGCTTTTGTAGGAAGGTTACTTGGCATTATTTATTACATTTCAAAACAACAGTGTTATTAATTTGGCTCATTTGTTAG